TGACTGAAGACAAAGCCCTGGTTTTTTGTGACACTCATTATTGTATATCCTGTGGAAGGGCCCATAACATCCAACATCCAGAGGCTGCAAAAATGGCTGGTATGGGCAGGTAGAATGAATAGGATGATGTTGTGTTGCCTCGCCCAGTCAACCAAACCTACAGAGACGTGCGACTTGTGGCCATCTAGAAGCAATAGGATAGGATCTCCTTCCCTTCCTGGTGCATACTTAAGAAAGTGGTCCTCTACGTATTTTCTAAATATTGCTAAGTTGGACCATCCAGTCTCAGATACTGTGCCATCTGCCCCAGGGGACTTCCCAGTCAAGAACTCGGGGTGCATTCTTGCTCCTTCAAAAACAAAGTATGGTGGGATTGCTGTACCTGCAGCACTTCCACATCCTAAAATTATTGTGGTGGAAGACTTCTGTGACATCACTTCAAGGACGTTGAGGTGTCGCCCAGCAACTACTGCTGGTGGGGAATGATGTTGCTGAATCCCCTTTTCGTCAACATTAAATATTAAATGCGGCTTATCCTCGAGATTGTTCTTCTGTTTGACCTCCTGCAGTTCTCTGAAGTAAGAATTTACTGTTGTTTTGTTCCCAGCTTTTACCCTCTGAATCTCCATGGCCATTGGTTTTACTAAACGGAGTTCCTCCCATCTGGTCATGAAGCCGTGGTACCACCTCAGGGTCAGTGGATTATCTCTGTCACGCTTTCCCAAACTTCTAATAAAATCATTGGCCAGATCTACAACTTCTCTCCTGGTATATCCGTAGCCAAATTGAGCCATTTCTTTAATGCGGTCAACCAGCCTCAACTCTTCTTCCATACTAAAGATTTGAGCTCTGCCTGATTTAACTGTGTCTACTGATATCATGCCCATTGTTCTGTCTCTTAATGTCCTTACTGGCACCCCATATTGTCTAGCTGCACCACATACTGTTTGTTTCATCTCCTTAACAGCAAGATAAGCATTAGTCATTTAAGTTGGGCTATTTTGCCGGTACCCTAAGGAGAATACCTTTGGTTTAACCTATTAAAAAATATAGCTTAAATTATATCACTTGAAATAATCAATTTGTATAGTAGCACTAATTTAATTATTTTTATTAACATCAATGGAAATAATTATCATTATTTAAACACACAAATTTTATATCATTTGATATGCAATTCAAATATTGTAAATTTAATGGCAGTGTAATAATTTGTGATCAACCCTTACGTTTGTGTTTTGTATGATTTACACACAGCAACCATTTACTGGCATTTAGTAATAAAAAAAAATTTAAAAATATATAATAAATTATATAATATATCATACAATAAAAAGAACAACTCTCTTAACATATTCTTGTTTAATGCATAATTTATTAAATTGGTCACGTCAAAAATAAAATAGCAATGGTAGGCACATCAATTTCCATGCAGCCTCTGTGCACGGCGCGCTTGTTTCCTGTGAAACAGAAAATCTGTTTTTCCTGCCCTATTTTCTTTTAAAGCGCCTGTGTGATTTAGACTGACAGACATGATGGTGCAGTTCCATGATCGGGAGTCGAATATTTATTGCCATTGAGACATAAAGCAAAAAGAGGGCATATAAAAAATGTGTATAATAATATTGTGTATGGACTTTTATTTTGTGTTTGCATTACCTGTTTAAACCGCATTTCTTCTGATAATTTCTTGACGTTGCTGTTGCTCCTTCTGTTTACATTCGATACCGGTAAAAAATGACGTCATAGATCAACAATTCGAAACGTGCTAGGCATGAAAACTTCAGGGACGATTTTAGGGTACGGACGAATTTAGGGGTAACGACGATATAAATATAAACGTATGGCGTTAATGTTTCAAGTCCGTGTCTATGCCACAGGGACCTGAGACAATAACAGCAAAATCGGGTATATCGTACAATAAGGAAGAAAGGACCTACATGTAACAAGCCGCCATCAATTCCTTGGTGCCTTCTTCTTTCTAAAACTTCTAAAAACAAATCCACAAAAACTTTGCCAGTCGAAAGACAGAATGTTATCCTTCATTGTCATAAATTGATTATTCAATTTGCTTCATTGAAACATTCAAGCTTCCGAGAATTAACTGTTTTATCAGTTTTTTGAATGAAAAATAAATAAGTTCTTCGAGTTTGAAGCAAGGCACCAAGGAATTAACGGCGGCTTGTTAGGTCCCTCCCCCCCCCCCCCCCCCTCAATTATACCATATACCCGATTTTGCCAAGATTGTGTCAAGACCCTGTGGTCTATGCAGCAACCTCAGAGAAGTCACCCGAGGTAGTTTTTCCAAGCTTGCCAGAAGAAAAATTGATGTCTGGGATCACAACAAACGAACTATTCGACATTTATCAATTTTGACTTGACATACATTATAAGATCTTTGTTACCATTAATTTTCGTGCATTTATGCACAAGTTGAACTACAAAAACACATAACCAGATCGTATGTACTAGGAGATTGATTCTATGTTATTTAATGCCCTGTTTGAGAGTTTCTCACTCATATGTAGATGCACCATATACAGTGTACCTATGAAAGGCCTCAAACTAATACCTTAACTCAGCAATCAGGTCTGTTGAACAGTGGGAGATCTTTACCGTGCATATGTCTGCCTTGACATGGACTTTAAAGCTCGTCTGAGCAACTCGCAACTTTCACTTCAAGTCGCCCGCATGGCGCTGTGGCAGAGTGGCATCTTTTCTAGAGTCACAGCAAGGAGTTGTTCCTTACGGCGTGGGTTCGAATCCAGCTATTGGACGTAGAGACCGGTCCTTCGAAAGAGGCCGTATAAACCGAGGTCCCGTCTCGCAGTAGATGCTGGCATGGAAAAGATCCCTCACTACCCAGTGTCCTCGAGTATAGGAACATTTGCAGCTCTAATACACCTGCAAATGGTGGCGTCTCCACATAAGGGGGGAATTCTTGAATGGGACATTAAACAACAAACAAATTACGATGACGTACGCTCGGCGAAGTCAATGTTGCAGCCTTTTCTGTTGCTGATTTAGGACAGTCGCGAGGGGTTCGAACCCAACAACTTTCGGTCGAGAAGTGAGCTCTATCGAGCTACAGAGGCGGTAAAAACGAAACTGACACGGTACAGTTTACTTACAGTAATGTTTCCTGAATGCCCTACCGTGAAATGGAATGTACATGTATACTCATCCTCTCTGTGCCCCGAAGGACGCATAAGGCCATTCAACAAAGACCGCCACTTTCAGCGGTCGCTAGCAACATCCTGCCCCTCCTTCCAGCTGCTCCAAACCAATTCCTCTCTTTTTTCTCAACAGAGCGTCATAAAGTGTTCTTTGGCCACTCTCTTCTTCTATATTCTCAGGGACCAAAGTGAGCAGGCTTCCCTTCCGAGGACATGGTCTATCCATTTCCTTCCTTTGATCGTCCTTGACAGAGGTGTGGGTCTTGATCTCTCATACAGTTGTTGATTGGATATATTTTACGGCCATTGTATTTTTAGGATCCTTCTAAGGCATCTCCAATGGAATGTGTCTTGCTTTTCATCGTCTTTCTCTGTGGTTCTCTGTAGTTCAGAACTTCGGAACTACTAGTATACAGCAACACAGATAAAAAAAACCATTTGTGTTGAAGATCTTAAATTTGGTCTTTGTGATGCATTGAGCAGACTTACATATGTACCTTTGTGAGGGATGCTAAAGTAGTCCTGGCTAAGTCCAGCCTTCTCGCTTTGTAAGCTTCAGCTGCTCCCGCCTGGTCCATTGTGGCACCTGGGTAGAGGAATGTTTAAACATCTCTACTTGCTTGTTATTTAACCTGAGCTGATGAAATCATTATTGTTTCCGTTCATTCCCATGCTTTTTGTCTTGTCCACATAGATTTATAAAACTGATTATTCAGCAACGTCATGTGATCTTTATCATGCAAGTCGCTGGAAATAATTTCGATGTCATCTGCATAATCCAAGTGTTCTAAGGTGGACGTAAGTGTCCAACGTACACCTCCCTTTCTATTGTTGGTATTCCTATTCCAGCTATAAAATAAAACTAACGTACTGTACTTAAAAGCGCTCGTGAGCGCTAGCAAAAAATCTTGCCATCAATTTGAATCAATTCCTCCGAAAAGTACCTTCAAATATAGTGTTAAAGTACAGTGTCATCAGATCATAAAAATTCTTATCAAAATCAAATTGCAACCATAGTGTTTTACAAAAGCAAAGGTGCTTAGCAATACATGTGCAAAATAAATTCATACCTCTCACAACAAAAAAGCTGCATGTAAAAGACTGGCAGACAACGGGTGAAGTGATCCCTAACTATCGCAATGCTCTATAGACGACACAACAAACGTAAAATAAATATTGGATACTGTGTATTCATTTATATTCGTTGAGCACCAATTTTCGAGGATTTCTTTGTTTTAGCAAATCCACGAAGTTAAATGTTCATTGAATTAAAAAAAAATATGTTATTCATTTGTAAAGGCAATGCTTTTGTCCATGAAATTACGTATCCTCGAAAACGTCTGTTTTACTAACTCCACGAAATTTGATGCCAACGAAAATTAATGAAACCACAGTATCCTCTAAAAATCTGCTTCTTAACAGTCTTAACAAATATATCGTGTCTGATGTAGAAGAATCAAGTTCAGTTACAGACAGACCCACGGATAAACAGGAAGTTGACATGAGATTAGATAAAAGAATGAATCTAATCATATGGCATGCCCTAACAAAGAATGTGCTAAAATTTCAAGCTACTGCAATGAGTAGTCACTGTTGTTGCTGGAGAACTGCGACATAAAATTGTTACGTATGTTACGGACAGATGCACATCGGGCTGACATCGGGCTCAAACAAAAATGAATTCAACCATATGACATGCCTCAGCAAGAATGTGCTATAACTTCAAGCATCTGCAATGAGTAGTATTTATGGCACGTTAGAAACTCATGTATGCATATGGTCCATGTATTGCAGTCCTTTTTTAAAGGACAGCAACTTGTTATTATTATAGGTAGGAAAATGGATAGAGAAGAACGATCCATCAGTGCTTCTACTTTATCTCCCAAAGCCAGCAAAAAAAACCTAACCTCAGCCGAAAACAGTGGGTGAGAATGCTTGATATTTTATGAACACCAAAGTTATGAAGAAAAAAAAAGCATTTGTTCTATCAATAATAATTCAAGTATTCTCATGATATACTTATTTTATTATAGCTAAATCTGTATGAATTGTATTAGTTGCAGGTGTATGTATCTCATCAGAATTTGAACCTTTAGTTTTATTAGCTCTACTGGTCAGAAGAGCTTATGGGATAGTAATGCGTCCGGCGTCCGTCCATCTGTCTGTAAACAATTTTTCAAAATGCTACTCCTCCCATAGTTTTGGTCTGATTTCAATATATTTTGGCACACAAGTAGTCTACACTAAGATACATAATTCTGTCTATCGGTTTTTGGTTTCGATAAACGGTGTTGCCATGGTTACTAAAAATAGAATTTTCTGTGAAACTCTTTCAAAATGCTACTCCTCCTACAGTTTTGGTCTGATTTCAATATATTTTGGCACACAAGTAGACTACACTAAGATACATAATTCTGTATACCAGTTTTTTATTTTTCGATGAACGGTGTTGCTGTGGTTACTAAAAATAGAAATTTCTGTTAAATTATTTCAAAATGCTACTCCTCCTACAGTTTTTGTCTGATTTCAGTATAACTTGGCACACAAGTAGACTACACTAAGATACATAATTCTATGTATCAGTTTTTGATTTCAATGAACGGTGTTGCCATGGTTACTAAAAATAGAAATTTCTGTAAAATTGTTTCAAAATGCTACTCCTCCTACAGTTTTGGTCTTATTTCAATATAACTTGGCACACAAGTAGACTACACTAAGATACATAATTCTGTTTATCGGTTTTTGATTTCAATGAACAATGTTGTCGTGCTAACTGTAAATAGAAATTTCTGTAAAATTGTTTCAAAATGCTACTCCTCCTACAGTTTCGGTCTGATTTCAGTATAACTTGGCACACAAGTAGACTACACTAATATACATAATTCTGTTTATCGGTTTTTGATTTCAATGAACAATGTTGTCGTGCTAACTGTAAATAGAAATTTCTGTAAAATTGTTTCAAAATGCTACTCCTCCTACAGTTTCGGTCTGATTTCAATATAACTTGGCACATTAGTAGACTACACTAAGATACATAATTCTGTTTATCGGTTTTTGATTTCGATGAACGGTGTTGCCGTGGTTACTAAAAATAGAAATTTCTGTAAAATTGTTTCAAAATGCTACTCCTCCTACAGTTTTGGTCTGATTTCAATATAACTTGGCACACAAGTAGACTACACTAAGAACATAAAGAGACTTTATCAAGGATCATTATTCTATTTATTGCTGTTGTCAAGTTTCAATTCCTAACTGCTTATTATAAGTACTTTTCTCTTCCTTTGTTTTTTATAGGGAACATGCTTATAATGAATTTGTGCTTAGTTAAACGAATTGATTTTTAATCCCTATGGTTTTTAGCTCTACTGGTCAGTGACCAGAAGAGCTTATGCGATAGTAATGCATCCGGCGTCCGTCCGTCTGTCTATCGATCTGTCTGTCTGTCTGTAAACAATTTTTCGAAATACTACTCCTCCTACAGTTTTGGTCTGATTTCAATATAGCTTGGCACACAAGTAGACTATACTAAGATACATAATTCTGTGCATCGGTTTTGGATTTTGATGAACGGTGTTGCTGTGGTTACTAAAAATAGAAATTTTTGTGAAATTCTTTCAAAATGCTACTCCTCCTACAGTTTTGGTCTTATTTTCAATATAACTTGGCACACAATTAGACTATTCTAAGATACATAATTCTGTGTATCGAATTTTGATTTCGATGGTGTTGCCGTGGTTACTAAAAATAGAAATTTCTGTGAAATTCTTTCAAAATGCTACTCCTCCTACAGTTTTGGTCTGATTTCAATATAACTTGGCACACAAGTAGACAATACTAAGGTACATAATTTTATATACCGGTTTTTGATTTCGATGAACGGTGTTGCTGTGGTTACTAAAAATAGAAATTTCTGAGAAATTCTTTCAAAATGCTACTCCTCCTACAGTTTTGGTCTGATTTCAAAATAACTTGGCACACAAGTAGACTACACTAAGATACACAATTCTGTATATCGGTTTTTGACTTCGATGAACATTATTGCAGTGGTTACTGAAAATAGAAATTTCTGTGAAATTCTCTCAAAATGCTACTCCAAATACAGTTTTTGTCTGATTATAATGTAATGTGGCATGCAAGTAGACTACACTAAGAACATAAAGAGACTTAATCAAGGATAATTATTCTATTTATTGCTGTTGTAAAGTTCCAGTTCCCAACTGCTTAAGTACTTTTCTCTTTCTTTGCTATAAGTACAAACCAGTAGAGCTTCAGTCTCGACAGAGACTTCTGGTTCAATATCGGGATCAGAAAGGTTTTTAAAAAAAATTATAGACAACGAGGATGTTAGGAAAGCCTTTATCGATTCTGTGCAAACAAGGCTTCTACCCCTAACATCATGCACAGCTTTTTCAATCAAAGAAGGTAATATCAGTATTGAATAATTTTCCTCACTTTTCCGAATTTCAGAGCATTCTTAAGAAAATAGTATTCCTTTTTTATAACTAAGCACACTTAAGTTTATTTATACCTGATTGAGTGGTTAAAAAATGAGATTAAAGATTTTCTAAAACTATTTTCTTTCTTTATATATATTTGTAACTTAATAGAAATGCCACAAATGGACTTGTCAGTGTTGGAAGCCAGTATGGGTTCGAAGAACGCCAAGCTCAGTGAACAAGATGTACTAGTATAGTAAGAAACTAGAGGTACTGTGAGCAATGAGCTCACTAAATCCCCGCCTCCCATATGAATAAAATGACAGTGTCCATGTTTTGTAATGGGAAACCCAAAATATGTGTCGAGTCAAAAAGTAAAATAGAAGGTGCACAATGGCAAAATGTAATAATGATTCTGCGAAAGTCTCATCAAATTTTATTTAGTGGTATGAGAGGAGTTGCGGGTAAGAGATGGGTACCCCAAAAAGTGCAAACAAGTCCATTCAAATTAATTTGGGAAGAATGGCTTTTATTCAAACTGAGTAAAGCTGAATTGTCAAGAACTGATACAATTGCCGATGTATGCGATTTTCGTGGGTTTGATTTCCAGTCATCAGAGGAGATACCTTATGAAGAAGATATGCCTTTCAGTAGACTTGGAAAAGAGTTGTTTTATTCACCACCCTGTGCTGAACTTAAATGGTAAGTATATTAACAAAGTGAAGGGCAAAACTTGATGTATACAGTATACTTATTGTATTTGATAATTGTTTGATAAAATGTTCATTGTTATTGAAAAGATCAGGAAAAAATTGGAAAATTAACATATAAACTCATCACATTTTGGTTTTTCTGGTGAATTAATCAAAACTTTTCGGGAAATAACACCAATTATTTGATATAAACAAACCAGTTTTGCATTGAGGATGGGGCCATCAGGGACCAACCTAGACCCAAAATTTAAAGAGACTTCACGTCTCCCTCAAGGCAAATTAGGGGAAACTTTTGAAAATCAGGGAGATTTGATACTCTTACGATTAACTTTTACCCCCCCCCCCTTCCAATTTTTTGACACTTTCGAAAACTTAAAAGTTTTTATGCGAGATGAGTTTAAATTTTGTAATTAAATTCTAATTCAAATTTGGCAACAGAAAAATCAATATGCAGCATATCAAATGGATGAACATTATTTGGTTTCATTGATTTCATAATTGACTTAAAGCCATATATGGCGTAACTGATCAAAAAAATATATTTTTGAAAAATACAAAATTAAGTAAAGAAATATAGTTGATACATTTGAATTAAAGCTTTTCATACAATTCTGAACACGGAGAACACCTCGTTTCATCTAATAATACGATTTTATCTTCTCTGTAATGTGTTATTTAAATCTTTTGTATTTTCTTCCGAGTCGGAGAAAATTCCGAGAATCCAAATTAAATTGTGATATCTTTATTACGCAATTGATTTAGATTTTGTAATTTACGGAAAAGTTCTATCTTTATATAAAGTAATGATACAAATAATAAGTTCTTATAATTTTAGTCCAATAATTTTCATTGTACATACGCCATATATGGCTTTAAAAAAAAAGTTGGGTGTGTTTGGGGGTATTAGTCTAACCCTGATCTATTTATAACCATAATGCATATATATATATACCTAGTTAGCTCATCAAATTGATAACTGTCATGATAACTGTATTTGTTTTTACGATCACTATACAGCATTTAGGTGTCTTAAATACATGTAACTTGAAACTGAATTAATAACTTATTACAAAACACCGGTAGTCATTTACCAGGTGTGGAGTTCGAGAAATCACAAACCCTTGACATTGTGAGGATGTTTTTCATCTTACATTCATTTATATTTTATCTATTATTATTCCATTTTGTCCCCCAAAAATATCAATTTAATATTCAGAAGTTTGATTTAATATGATAAACTGAGCACTTAAAAGTTATTGTTTTCATATTAGATACAGTTAAAACACTAGAGGTACTGTGAGCAATGAGCTCACTAAATGATACACCCCGCCTCCCATATGAATATAATGGCAGTGTCCATGTTTTCTATGGGAAACCCAAGACATGTGTCGGATTCAAAAGTAAAATAGGAATAAAGATTCTTTGAAAGTCTCATTTAATTTTATTCAGTGGTATGAGAGGAGTTGAGGATAAGAGATGGGTACCCCAAAGCGTAACAGACGGACGGACGTACAGACAGATGGACATCCCGATACCTATATACCCACCCAATTTTCAAGCGGGAGGTAAAATAAATAAGGCGTGACAGACGGACAGACAAACGCCTAGCTAAATGATCCCAAAGTATCGCTTTGTTCTGCAGGCGACATGAAAAAATACAAAAATGTAAACAGCAACCCTAAATGAAGTTTTCAATTTATAGTGTCGATCGAAGCAATTTCTTCTCTGCAGTAAAGATTTCTGTTGGGTTGATTAAATCAATATGAGAGAAAGAATCGCTGTCAAAGTTCAGGCTTTTGCGTCATTGTTTAGAAATTACAAGAAGTGAATGCTCTCAAGGTTGTTCACCACCTAAATGCAATGGCACGCTTACTTCAGACAGTTGATACATAAAAACAAATACAAACATTGTTCATTATACCCCCATTCCGAAGGAGAAAGGAGGGGGGACACTGATTACCCTTGTGTGTCTGTCCGTCCGTTACGATTTTGGGTACCCATCAGGCATCTCTTATCCGCAACTCCTCCTAATTATATACCACTGAATAAAATTTACTGAGACCTTCACAGAATGTTTGTAACATATTTCCATTGTGCACCTCTTATTTTACGTTTTGATCGCACACATTAATTTTTTTATTTGGATTACCCATAGCAATGTATGGACACTGCCATTCTTTCTGCATTATTCAAGGTTACCCATCTCTTATTCACAACTCCTCCTATACACTGAATAAAATTTAATGATACTGTAACGAATTCAAAATCCAAGGGCCAGGCCAAGAGGAGATCCCAATTGTATTCACTGAAGCACATCGAGTGAGGAAGGGTAGGAAGCAGACTGTAGTATATCTTTCCGGATATGATTTATGTGTATGTATTGGTTTTGTATGTTATCGGTGTTCTTCAATAAAATGTTACTTCCGGTAATGGTGTGGTCCTTGCAGCAAAGTATTTATCTAGTAATTAGACACCCTTGTGTAAATACACAACACATGGCGACGAGATAAAGTTAGCAGAAATTTTCGGGAAATTCATTGTGTGTAAGTGTTCATTATCGTTGCATAGTGCGCAAGTCTGAATTTTGAATTTCACTTTGCACGAGGTGACACGAATTTTCTCAACAATATGGCAACTTCACTGATTGGGAAAATAGATATATTCGATGACTCTAGAGAAAAATGGGAATCTTTTGTAGAAAGACTTGAACAGTATTTCCTTGCAAATGACGTTGATGCGGGCAAACAAGTACCGGTGTTATTGAGTGTAATTGGCGGTCCGACGTACAGTTTACTGAGAGATTTGACTGCGCCAGCCAAACCAGCCGATAAAACTTACCAGGAAATGTTGACATTCTGAAGAACCACTTGAGTCCCAAACCGATTGTTATAGCAGAGCGATTCCGTTTTCACAAGAGAGACCAGAGACCTGACGAGAGTGTGAGAGACTATATTGCCCAATTACGTAAATTATCAGAACACTGTGCATTTGGAGGTGCTCTGGACGACACATTGAGAGACCGTTTGGTTTGTGGACTGCGCTGTGAGAACACACAGAAGAAGTTACTCTCGATAGCCCAACTAACATTGAACAAAGCACTGGAAATATATGTTGCCATGGAAACAGCCACTAAGGATGCTGCTGAACTTCAGAATAAGCATCGTGGATTAGCATCTGTAAACAAGTTTGTAAGTCAGAAACGCCCAGCTAAGAAACCACAGAAAACAGAGACAAAGTGTTATCGTTGTGGGAAAGAGGGCCATCTACAGCAAGACTGTCATTTCAAAAATGCAAACTGTAGGAAATGTGGGAAAAAGGGACACATTGAACGCGTGTGTCGCAGCAAGAATAGCCAGTCACGACAAAAGTCGCAGAAGGCACACTTTCTTACGGAAAAGAGTGATGATGAAGAGTACATAGCAAGTTTGGAAATTCATCAAATGAGTGGAAATTCCAAAGAAATTATTTGGATACAGCCAAAAGTCAATGGATTGGATTTAAAGATGGAGCTCGATACTGGATCCGCTCTCTCTATTATCAGTAAGGCAGAGTTTGTGAAGAATTTCAAAGGCCTAAAGTGGGAAAAGAGTGACCTTACATTAAAGACATATTCAGGAGAAGTTATAACTCCACTTGGTTTTGTTCAAGTACCTGTAGTGTTGAAAGGGTCAGAAGAAGTGTTACCTTTGTACATCGTCCAGAGAGGTGGACCACCGTTACTCGGACGACAGTGGATGAATGCCTTGTGTGGGAAGCAGTGGATTGATAGACTTTCCATGAATTATGTAGACTCTCAGGCAGTATCACCTCAACAAGGGATTCAGATCATTCTTGAGAAATATCAGTCAGTTTTCAAAGAAGATCTTGGTACTTTGAAGAATATAAAGGCCAAATTCTCCCTGAAACCTGATACAAAGCCAAAGTTTTGTAAGGCTCGACCTGTGCCACATTCACTTAAACCAGCAGTGGATAATGAGCTAGATCGACTTCTCAGCTTAGGAATCCTGGAACCAGTGGAGCATAGCGAGTGGGCAACTCCCATAGTCGTGGTGCCAAAGAAAGACAACACTGTTCGGATATGTGGTGACTTTAAAGTAACGTTGAATCAGTGTATCAATGTAGACCAGTACCCGCTTCCTCGGGTAGATGAAATATTCTCAAACCTTGCAGGAGGAAAACACTTCACCAAACTGGATCTTAAAAATGCATACCTGCAAATGGAAATTGAAGAGGATCACCAGAAATACCTCACCATCAATACTCATAGAGGATTGTTCCGTTTTAACAGGCTCATGTATGGAGTGGCATCCGCACCAGCAGTATGGCAGAGGGCCATGGATCAAGTACTGCAGGGGATCAACGGAACACATTGCATGATTGATGACATGATAATAACTGGTTCGACGACTGAGGAGCATCTTGGCAATTTAGAGAAAGTTTTGTCAAGACTGCAGAACTTCAACCTGAGAGCAAATATCAAGAAATGTGACATTTTTAAAGACAGTGTAGAATTTTGTGGTCACAAAGTTGACAAAGATGGCTTACATAAAACAGAAGAGAAGGTGAAAGCAGTGGTGGAAGCTAAGATTCCAGAGAATGTGACAGAGTTACGTGCATTCCTTGGGCTTGTGAATTATTATGGAAAGTTCATGCCCAACTTGTCTACTGTTTTGAGACCTCTACACAAGCTCTTAGAGAAGGACAGGAAGTGGAACTGGACGAATGAGTGCCAAACAGCATTCAGATAAGTGAAAGAATTGATGAAGTCTGATCAAGTTCTTGCACACTATAATCCTCACTTACCGATAAGGCTCTCTTGTGATGCATCACCATTCGGACTTGGAGCGGTGCTTTCACATACGTATCCCTCAGGAGAAGAACGTCCAATAGCATTCGCGTCTAGAACTCTAAATAGTGCCGAACGGAACTATTCACAAATAGACAAGGAAGCCCTTGGTATAGTGTGGGGAATCAAACATTTCCAGATGTACTTACGCCATTTCTCGCTCATTACTGACCATAAACCCTTGGTATCGATATTTCATCCGCAGAAAGGTATACCACTTACTACTGCCGCAAGACTGCAACGGTATGCACTGTTCTTATCGGGATTGGATTACTCTATTGAGTATCGGAACACAAAACAACACGGGAATGCGGATGGACTGTCTCGCCTACCATTAGCTACAGAAGGCGGAGAAGGAGCGTTGGAGTCAGAGATGTTAGATACAGCACATGTATTTCACATGACACAGTTAGAGGCATTGCCTGTTTCAGCTTGTGAAATAAAGCGTAAAACTGCTCGAGATCCAGTGTTATCTCGGGTATACGATGCAACCATGCGTGGTTGGAATGATGCAACAGATGGTGACTTGCAACCATATTTCTCACGCAGACAGGAGATTACTGTGTATCAGGGTTGTTTACTCTGGGGATTCCGAGTCATTATCCCAGAACCACTTCAGAAAGGAATTCTTGACATGATCCATGAAGGACACTTGGGGGTGGTGAAAATGAAGGCAATTGCTAGGAGCCATGTCTGGTGGCCCGGTATTGATGCCAGTATTGGGGGAGTGCGCAAAGAAATATAAAGGATGTATGGACCATCGCAATGTAGCACCGGAAGCACCCATCCATCCCTGGGAATTCCCCGATAAACCCTGGCAAAGAATTCATGTGGACTTTGCAGGCGCCCATTCTTGGGAACAATGTTTCCGATTGTTGTAGATGCCCATTCCAAGTGGCCTGAAGTGTTCAAGATGAACAAGACTACATCGACACATACCATTGAAGTACTCAGAACTCTATTTGCAAGAAATGGTTTACCTGAACATTTAATCAGTGATAATGGACCACAGTTCATTGCAGAGGAGTTTCAGCAATTCATGAAATCAAATGGTATACGTCATTCAACCTCATCCCCTTATCACCCAAGGACAAACGGCCTTGCTGAGCGATTTGTGCAGACCTTCAAGAGCGCTATGAAATCTGCCAAATATGATGAGGGTTCCATTCAGAAGAAACTTTGCAATTTTCTGATTGCATATCGGAGCACTCCACAATCAACAACTGGAGAATCTCCGGCACAAATGTTTTTGGGAAGAAATCTCACAACTAAGCTGGATCGTGCTAAGCCCAGTTTGACACGAACCGTGGACCAAAGCCAGGAGAGGATGCGAAGTAAGATTACAACCACACCTCGCAAGTTCAACATCGGCGACCATGTCTTAGTAAGGGACTACAGGAAGGGAGATCATAAATGGATATCCGGCATAATACATCGCATCACAGGACCGATTTCCTATGAAGTTGAAGTATCCTCAGGAAATGTATGGCGGCGTCATGTTGACCAAATTTTTAGTTCAGTACAGCAGCCATTCGCAGAGGCTCAGCTGCAGCTACCGAACATAGACACTCATGTAGATATTGCGCCTGTTGACCAAAGAATCGAAACCAGTCCAACTACACCAAGTGAGGTAACTGCAACACCAAACTTACCTGAAACACTTGATTCTGAACCAGCAGTTGCTCAGGACCCCTTACCAGATTCGGGAAACAAGTCGAGTACGCCTGTGCGCCGTTATCCAGTTAGAAACCGGAAACCTGTTGTGAAACTTAATTTGTGATTTTGGGGCATAATAATCCCCTAGTTTCATTTATGAGGGCAGAAAGCTCTTATTTGTGTAATATTTGTATTTGTTTATCTTGATGTTCAATAATACTCATGATTCTGCAAAATCTAGTCATTTGAATTCAGTTAGTGCTAATATTTCATTCACAACTGATATAAACACTCAGAGACTATGAAGATGTTTAATTATATTTTTTATTTTGAATTGTTACATTCATTTACTTTTAAACTTGAATTTCAAAAGTTTAGTGGGGAGGAATGTAGTATATCTTTCCGGATATGATTTATGTGTATGTATTGGTTTTGAATGTTATCGGTGTTCTTCAATAAAATGTTACTTCCAGTAATGGTGTGGTCCTGGCAGCAAAGTAGTTTATCTAGTAATGAGACACCTTTGTGTAAATACACAATACAGACGAAGAGGCCCACCCCAGTGCCACCAGCCTTTCCTTCTGCGAAGAACACTGTGATACTGTCAGCACAGAACCCCATTCTGCCATTTGATGCAGACAAACTGACTTCGCCACTCGTGACCCAATTCACTCCAGGGACACCAACAAGGAAGTCTTTTAAGCGAATTTTCGAGGACACATTTCGTAATTCGTCGAAGGAAGAGGCCCTTCTGTCCCCCGTTTTCTCCAAAGCTGAACCACCGGTGACATCCACACCTATACGTACGGTTACCACCGATAGGGAATTCGACAAGAAGGACGCCTCCGTCCAGGAATCTCTCCCAAGTAGATTGCAGCCCCCATCCTCAATGCCACAGGAACGAGTAGGATTAGATGTGGGAGGGAAGTTATTCGTGACGACCTGGGCCACTCAGAGGAACCAGCCAGATTCATTGTTCACCCAGATGATTGAGGACCCTACCCTTTTGCCATCCTATACTATTATACATTACAGTGGAAACCTGAGTGTGTATTTAGTATTCAGAGACTCTGCATATTTTTTTTTATATTATTCTTCACTTCCTCAGAGACGGGGCAAAGAACATAAACTGTCATCTGTCTAGTGATACTAAAACGCTACGAAAGAAACCATGTTCACCAGATTAGAGACTTTAGCAGATATAACTGGCAGCCAGATGTTTGTGATGATTTTGGGAAACATGGAATTTCTTAAGGAATAAATGTGAATTGTGTATGATATTAAATGCTATAATGAAGTCAAGGCATTGATTTCCATTTGAATATATGATCATGTTTTATCATTCATAAGTGAAGTGTTTATTATGCATTGATGGTAGGAAAATAATTGGTAAATAGTTGTAAAAGATATTAATTACATGCTGTCAAACGTATATTACTGTTTTGGAGTAATGTTCACTATATTTCGACCCGGTCTCGAACTCTGAAGTCATTTATCACGTTTCGTCTTTAAACATTTCATTCTCATTGTTTATATCAACTTAAAAATGTAATAGCTACTAGTCCTTATCGTATTTTGGAAGATAAAATCCCCATTTTGTATGGTTAGTAATTATTTTCTATAAGAAAAGTCGCCCGCGTGGCGCAGTGGTTAGAGCGTCTGCTCTAGAGTCACAAAGTAAGGAGTCGATCCTTACGTCGCGGGTTCGAATCCCACTGTGGGACATGGAGACCGGTCCTTCGGAGGAGACCGTATAAACCGAGGTCCCGTGTCGCAGTAGGTGTTGGCAAGAAAAAGACCCCTCACTGCTCAATGGTCCTAAGAGCCGAGCATAGGAAAAAATTATTAGCTCTCCACCGGCTAGTGCTAACGTCTCCATATGAGTGAAAAAATCTCGAGAGGGAGTTAAACAACGTAAAATCAATCTATAAGAAAACCTCTGTGTACAGTGTCTTGCTTTGTTTATTCCGAAAGTGATGGGAAGTCGTTTTGGGTCAGCGATTGGTTAATTGAGGTTACCAGTGGGTACAGTAAAGGTATACGAGTATAAAGAACCGAAAATTCATCTGCTAGAGAGAGAAGAGGGGGCGAATTTAGGAAGATAACAGAGACCTCCAAGTTTATATTCTGCAGTTCCCCATCGTATGCATTTTTCAGGGATGACAGACCCAATGCAGACCAGATGGGTAACATCAGTCAAATTTTATTGAATAGAGAGACGCTGAGATATCCCTGTGGGAGGCTCATAACTAAAGTAAGGAGATCCATCGACGGGAACACTTATGGGAAAATTTATTGGAATTACAATTTATTATTAAAACTATAAAGGGCTTCTAGGTTAGTATAAATGAAGTATATTAAAGTATTTTTGTACAAGTAGCTACAGTGCAGTTTTAGCTCTACTGGCAGAGACCAGGAGAGCTTATGCGATAGTATTGCGTCCGGCGTCCGTCCGTCTGTAAACAATTTTTCAAAATGCTACTCCTCTTACAGTTTTGATCTGATTTCAATATAACTTGGCACACAAGCAGACTACACTAAATTACATAAATACTGTGTATCAGTTTTGATGTCGATGAACGGTATAGCCGTGGTTACTAAAAAAAGAAATTTTTGTGAAATACTTTCAAAATGCTACTCCTCCTACAGTTTTGGTTTGATTTCAATATAACTTAGCACAAAAGTAGACTACACTAAGATAAATAATTCTGTATATCGGTTTTTGATTTCGATGAAAGGTGTTGCCGTGGTTACTAAAAATAGAAATTTCTGTGAAATACTTTCAAAATGCTCCTCCTCCTACAGTTTTGGTCTGATTTCAATATAACTTTGCACACAAGTAGACTACACTAAGATACATAGATTCTGTGTATCAGTTTTTGCTTTTTGCTGAACGGTGTTGCCGTGGTTACTAAAAGTAGATATTTCTGTAAAATTCTTTCAAAATGCTACTCCTCCTACAGTTTTAGTTTTATTTCAATAAAACTTAGCTCAAAAGTAGACTACACTAAGATACATTAACTAGTGCATCGGATTTTGATTTCGCTGAACGGTTTTGCCATGGTTACTAAAAATAGAAATTTCTGTGAAATTCTTTTTAAAATGGTACTCCTCCTACAGTGTTGGTCTGATTTTACGTGGCATAGAAGTAGACTCCACTAAGATACTTAAAATAGCGCATCGGTTTTTTATTTCAATGAAAGGTATTGCCATCACCGTGTCAAACCGTTACTTTGAGGGAGTCGCAAAAAAGAACGAGGGAGTCGCTTTTTACGCCAGGGGGAGTCGATTTTCTTCGCTTGAAAAACTGCCGAAAGGTAGGTCACGGTGTTTTGTTGCATTTAGAAATAGTTTTTGCACAAATACTATATCGCACGGAACAATACGAAAACTAAGGTACATGTACATCAGAAGTTTACCAGTCATAACCATCTAGTATGCTCAAACACTTCGGATCTTTTTTCAGTATTCACAAATTTTACTTTGACGATGACAAAAAATATGCATTAATGAATATTTATGCAGCATAACCAGGTTGTAGGTGATCTAATTTTATTATTTGATAATCTTTATTGTTTGACAATTTGAATTTGGAAAATGATCGTTTAAGGTATGTACGGAGGCGATTTTTAATTTCAGTGCAAAGGTAACGGAAAGGGGAGTCGATTTATGTTCATGATTAAGAAAGGGGGGTCGCAAAGTAATCTAAATAATGAATTTTGGCAATCAATGTTGTCGAAAATGAGCATTTTGAATGTTGAAAATGTCATATTTTATTGTCAATATCAATCTTTGAACGTAATTATTCTGAATTTTTAGAAAGGACAAAAAGAAATCATCCTTATGGCTCCATCAACCTAACAAAAAGGAAAAATACAAAATACCAGTAGTCCGTACAAATGGACAGCCTGCTATAGTAAACACCCCCTCAAAACTCCTTGTTATTCAAAATCTCCAACATCAAAAAAGCTGAAAGTTCATAGAGTTTTTCAGGGCAACCAGACAAGAGGGTCACCTTCCCCGTTGAAAAGAACTCCCAAAAGACAACGGGTTGACAAATTTTCTGATTCAGATACAACAATTCAGCGAAATCGAGTATCATGATATATATATGTACAGCTGACATAGGTATCCAAACACAGGATGAAAATTCAAAAACAATATCTGAAGACCTTTTTTCAAAAGCTTCTGAGAAACTCTTCAAATACGATAAAGGCATATGGCAAATAAAGTTTTAACATTTTTGCGCCTCATTGATCAAAGTTCTAAATAGAAATATGTAAAAAAGTTCTTTAAAAATCTTCTTCTCGAAAATAGCAAAGCCATAATTGATCATATTAATATGGAAGCATCCTCAGGCTGTGTAGATTCAAGTTTGTGCAAATCATGACCCCCGGGGGTAGGGCGGGCCCAAAACAGCCGATCAAAGTTTTACATAGAAATATACAAAAACATTCTTTAAAAAATCTTTGCAAAGCCATAATTGCTCATATTTATATGGAAGCATATATCAGGTAGTATAGATTCAAGTTTGTTTCTAGCCACAATGCTCAGGTGAGCGATGTGGCCCATGGACCTCCTGTACTGAATCATTGTACCAAAGGTTGCCTTTAGAAACAGCATCACACACATTTGTTATAGATTGATGGCAGGGACGTAGCAACAGGGGGGGGGGGGCTGCCCCCCCCCCCCCCCCCACTTTTTCCCCAACATTACCTTTACTATAGAAAATATTCATTGAAAGTATGGTTGCCCCCCCCCCCCCCCCACTTTTTACCATAGTATAATGATATCAAGGAATTGTAGAAAAAAACTGTAATTTTGCTTTGAAAAAGTCCCCCCCCCTACGAAATAGGATTTCCGAGTTTGGGCAACTTTTAATTTTTTTTTTTGCTTGTCAACTTCTTCAGGTAAGTAAAAATAAATTTCTCTGGTCCCCCCCCCTTTCAAAAACGATGCTACGTGCCTGGATGGTAATCTTTTTATTTAAATAATGCACATTCTTTATTCAAAATGTCTAATTTCACAACCTCATAATCTTTTACAGGGGGTCTGATAGTCCATATTTCAAACTATGTGGGCAAAAAGGGTGTGGTTAAATTTCTTTGATATTACATCTAAAGA